TCCCTCTCCCACTCCCCCTGCTTGTGTTCCCTCTCTCGCTGTGTCTCTCTCTGTCAAATAAATAAATAAAATCTTTAAAAATAAAAAAAAAGTGTAAAAAGAAATGCTTAATGTAGATATGAATGATTAATGCTACGTGCACTATAACTTTATTCCACCATTATTAAACACAATTCTATTTATCTCTTTCTCTCCACTTTTGCCAGTAAAATGGAGTTCTGCAGACCTGATCTGCATGTTAAAGACAAATAATGAAATTCCTGATACTGCTTGGAAATGCAAATCTTCATAATCAATATAATGGAGTCTCAGAAAGAGATGGAGACGATGCCCTTCTGTCCTGAAGCTTCAAAGAGTGAATTTTTTCTATGCCATAATATAATTCAAAGACTCTTGTTTGGCAGTTTGTTAAACTGAACACATTCACAAGACATCCTGCTTTCATGTGCAAAATGAAGATAGTGTGAATACTCCTAATTATTACAAGTTGTTCTGTTCTGTTAAACCTAATCTTGAAAGTATAATTTGGAAAAAGATGTCTTGTAATTTTCCAAAGACGTTGGAATCTATTGCATTGTTCTGTAAAAATAATCTTCAAATTAGTTGCCTTATTGATAATTACAATACAAATTATATTAATGTCATAACAGTAATGTTATAAATGAAATTCCAGTATTCTTAAACAATATAAATCCTGTTAAGACTGGTTACCAAATTGTAATAGGATTACTGCTATTTTTCCTCTTCTCCCACATGCTTGTTGGGGGAAAAAGCCTAGGTTAGATTTCTTATTTTAAGCAAAATTAATACTTGCTTCATTTAAGTTAACAAATATAGCAATAAAACATTTTTAGGGGAATTATACCTTCTTGAGATAAAATGTGTAAAAGACCTACCACAGTCTTTGGTAAATGTGAAGCAGCACAGTGTAATAGGAAAGCAAAGGTCTATAAACCTTCACACAGGCTTGGTTTCAAATGCAAGCTTATTTGATATTTGATATTTACTTAATTTTCCTGAGCTTCAACCATAAAGCACTCAGTGTCTAGCACATACAAGTTACTCAATAAATGTAATTTCACTGTCCACACCACTTTTATAAAATCTTTATATAAGGCAATTTTATAACTTTCTATGATAAAGTTTCCAATGAATATGACCAGTAGTTCTTATTAAGTCACTTCCTCGATACCATGAAATTCATTTCCTTTTTCTTTAAAATAAAACAATACATAATATTTACCTTAAATTAATTAAAATATGAGTTTTGCCTAAATGGATAAAGAGGAGTAAGGAACTTAAAAAATACTGATTTAAAAAGTTCCAAAGTTAGAGTTGTTCAAGATTCATGGCATATAATTCTACAGCAGTTCGGCCTAATAGAACTTTCTGCAATGTGCTGTCCAGTATGTCTAATCATATAGTGGCTATTAACCACTTGAAATGTGACTAGTGCAACTGAGGAACTGAATTTTAAATTTTATTTAACTTTAATTAATATAAATATAAATTTATATAGCCACATGTGGCTAGTGGTACCATAGAAAGAACCTTATTTTGTGTGTACATAGATTCAAATGATTCCAGTGAGTAAGGCTCTGTCTTTGCTCAACTGTTCTCTCCTCATACCAGTCACCCAACAATGAAGAAGGAGAGGTATCACAGCTGAAGTTAAGCACCAGCCCCTGCACTCAATAATGGTCATACTGGAATCTAAGATAACTCAGGGATATAGCCAGACTGGGTCTATGGTACCAGAAGTTGGCTTCTGTGCTATAAGGACTCCTGGATGTCAACGTTTCAAAAGTGGGACATTTGAATGCTTATGACAGGGATTAGCAAACTTCAATTTTTGGGTCAAATCCTGCCCATAACTGCTTTTTTGGTTTCTATGTTTCTTCTACAACTGTTTTTACAAATAAAGTATTACTGGAACATGGCCATGCTCATTCATCTTGTCTAGGGCTGCTCATGATGTACAAAAGCAGAGTTGAGTAGTTGTAACAGAGACTGTTATGACTGAAAAACTAGGAAGAGGAGTTAGGTAATAATGCACCACTTGTCTCAAAACAGAGAACCTTATTTTGTGTACAAAATATTTGCTAATTGGCCCTTTACAGAAAAGTTTGCCAACCTCTGACTTATGGCTAAAAGGAGAGAATTCAGGGGACCAAAAGTTTTAGTTTTCAAGAATGGAGAAGAGGAAATTCCCTTCTGTTTTTGGTTTTAGGTGATCCTATAATCAGGACCTAAAGCAGAACAGAGTTGCAGCTGTTAAAAGAAAAAAAATCTCTAAGCTCTTGTAGCTGCAATGTTAATTACATACTTCCTTTAACACAGTGCAACAGCAGTTCCCAAACTTTGCTGCAAAGTGAATTTTAGGGATCCCTAAAAACAATACCAATGCCCGGTTCCCACTTCCAGACATTCTGATTTAACTGGGATGGGCTGTAATGTGGGCATGGAGATTTAAAAAATCTCTAAATGATTCTAATGCACAGCAAAATTTGGGAAGTACTACGCTAGCAGACCAAGTTGTAGTGCTGGATAGAACTAGCTGCCCCCAAAGTGGCTGCAGGTGCTTCCTGATATTGCTTATTAACAGCTCTTTTCACGGCAGGATTATAACTCAGATGTCAGACTCCTTAGTAGAAGCTGACTTAAGCTGCTTCGAGACCTAACCCAGGGGAGAAAAGATACGAATAACATCTTCACAAGAAGTACCTGAGATTTAGTGGACAAGGCACTGGACTTGGAAAGAGAGAAGCTAAAGTCCCTCATCAGCTATATGACTCTAGGCAAGTCACTTGTCTCAAACTTTAGCTGGGACACAGCTAAAGAAATGCTGAGAGGGAAATTTATAGTGTTAAATACATATGTTAGAAAGATATAACATCTCAAATCAATAATCAAGAACCTAGAGAGAGAAAAATAAAACAAATACAAGCATAAGGAAGGCTATAATAAAGAACAGAAATTAATAAATTAGAAAACAGAAAAACAATAAAAGACATCAATGAAACAAAAAGCTACCTCTTTAAAAAGATCATTGATGTTGACAAACTCTGCTAGAGAGCAAAACTGAAAAAGAAATGGAGAAGATGCAAATTACCAAGATCAGGAATGATATGGGCTTTCACTATACAACCTACAGACATTAAAACAACAGTAAGGAACTACTACAAACTATTCTGTACACATACATCTAGTAACTTAGACAAAATGGACGAATACCTCAATGACACAAATTACCACAATTCATCCAATATGAAATAGATAAATATCAATAGCCCTGTAAATATTAAGGAAGTTGAATTAATACTTTAGAAATTCCTGAAAGAGAAATCTACAGTCCCAGACGGTTTCACTGGAGAATTCTATCAAATACTTAAAGAAGAATCAACACCAATTGTACACAAATTCTTCCAGAAAATAGAAGAGGTGGAAATACTTCCCAATTCACTTTATGAACTTAATATTACCCTGATACAAAAAACCAAGACAGTACAAAAAAGAAACAAAGGCAGTACCATATTCTTCGTGAATATGTACAGAAAAATCCATAATAAAATATTAGTACATGGAATTCAGCAATATATAGGAATAATTATATACCATGACTAAGTGGGGCTTATTCTAGCAATGCAGGGCTGGTTTAATATTTGAAAACCAATCAGTGTAATCCATCATATTAACAGGCTAAAAAAAAAAAAATCACATGATTATATCAACCAAAGCTGAAAAAGCATTTGGCAAAAGTCAACATCCATTCATGATAAAAACTCTCAGAAAGATAGTAAAAGAGGGGAACTTCAACTTGAAAAGGAGCATCTACAAAATACCTACAACTAACATTATACTTAGTGGTGAAAAACTGAATGTTCCCCCCTCCATTGTGTCCATGGATTAAAAAACTCAACAGAGCTAAGATGTCAATTTTCCTAAAATTGATATATAGGTTTAACCCAATTCATAGAAAAGTCCCAGCAAAATTTTTTTGTAGACAAGGTTATTCTGAAATTTATATGAAAGGCAAAGGAACTAGAAGAGCTAAGATGATTTGGAAAAAGAATAAAGTGGGAAGAATCAGTTTACCCAATTTTATCACATAGTATAGCTACAGTAATCAAGGACTATGTACTATTAATGGAGTGACACACACATAGATCAATGAAACAGAAGCAAGAACACAGAAATAGACCCATATAAATACACCCAACTGATTCTCTGACAAATATAAGAAAGCAAGTCAATAAAAGAAAGACCGCCTTTTCAATAAACAGTGAACCTTGACCTAAGTCTCCCACTTTATACAAAAATTAACTCAAAATGGATCCCAGACTGCAATATAGAACATAAAGCAATTAAATTTTTGAAAAAAAAAAATACAAGAATATCTTTGAGGGCGCCTGGGTGGCTCAGTTGTTAAGCGTCTGCCTTCGGCTCAGGTCATGATCCCGGGGTCCTGGGATCGAGCTCTGCATCGGTCTCCCTGCTCAGCGGGAAGCCTGCTTCTCCCTCCTCCACTCCCCCTGCTTGTGTTCCCTCTCTCGCTCGCTCTCTCTCTCTCTCTGTCAAATAAATAAATAAAAAAATCTTTAAAAAAAAAAAAGAATATCTTTGAGATTTAGGACTTCACCATTCACTTGACATTGAAAGTATGTCTCCAAAAAGGACATACTGATAGTTTGGACTTCACCAAAGTTAAAAACTTTTGCTCTATAAAAGACCCTATTAAGAAAATAAAAAGAAAAGTTATGGATTAGGAGAAAATGTGTGCAAACCACATATCCGACAAAGGACTAGTACTTAGAATATATAAAGAACTTTCAAAAATCAACAGTGAAAAAAAAAAAGCAAACAATGCAATTAGAAAACTGGCATAAGACATGGAGAGATATCTCATCAAAGAGGATATACAGACATCAAATAAGCACATGAAAAGGTATTCAACATCATTAGCCATTAGGGAAATGGATAGTAAAACCACAGTGAGATATCACCTTATCTTTCAGAATAACTAAAATAAAAAATAGTAACAACATCAAATGCTGACAAGGATGTGGAGAAACTGTCATCACTCATACATTGCTGGTAGAATATAAAATGGTATAGCCATTCTGGACGAGGTCAGCAGTTTCTTAGAGAATTAAACTTGCAACTACCATATGACCCAGCAGTTGCACTCCTTGGCATTTATCTTGGAGAAATGAAGATTTATGTTCACACAAAAACCTGTACACAAATGTTCATAATAGCCCCAAACTGGAAACAACCTAGATATCCTTCAACATGTGAATGCTTAGGGTGCCTGGGCGGCTCAGTCCGTTAAGCAGCTGCCTTCAGCCAGGGTCTTGGGATGAATCCTGCATCAGGCTCCCTGCTCAGCGGGGAGTCCACTTCTCCCTCTACCCCTCCCCTCTGCTTGTGATCTTTCTCTCTCACTCTTTCAAATAAATAAAATCTTTACAACAACTATAAAACATGTGAATGCTTAAACAAACTGCTACATCCATATCATGGAATATTATTCAGCCATTAACTCGAGCAAACTACTGATACACACAACCCAGAAAATTATGTGGAGTGAAAAAAGCCAATCCCAAAAGGTTATATACAGAATGAATCAATTTATATAACATTCTTTAAAAGGCAAAATTACAGAAATGAAAAACAGATTAGTGCTTTCCAGGGGCTTAAGAGGGGTTGGAGTGGGAGGGAAGTGGGTATGTTTATAAAATGGCAACATGAAGGATTCTTGTGGTAACTGAAGTGTTCTGTATCTGATTATATCAATGTCAATATCCTGGCTGTGTTATTGTACTATAGTTTTTATAAGATGTTACCAATCAAGAAAACTGGATAAAGTATACATGGAATCTGTATATTTCTTCAAACCTGCATGTGAATCTATAATTATCTCAAAATAAAAAGTTAAAAGATACATATTTACAGGGGTACCTGGCTGGCTCAGGCCATGAAGGGTGAGGCTTTTTTTTTTTTTAGATTTTATTTATTTATTTGTCAGAGAGAGAGAGAGAGAGAGAGAACACATAAGCAGAGGGGAGTGGCAGGCAGAGGGAGATGCAGGCTCCCTGCTGAGCAAGGAGCCCAATGCAGGACTCGATCCCAGGACCCTAGGATCATGACCTGAGCCAAAGGCAGCCGCTTAACTAACTGAGCCACCCAGGCATCCTAAAGTGTGAGGCTCTTGATCGCAGGGTTATGAGTTCAAGCTCCACATTGGACATAGAGCTTACTTAAAAAAAAGGAAAAAAAAAATATGCATAAACATGAATGTGTGGGTATGTGTATCCCCCAAACTTGAAGAATGTATTTTTAAAAAGTTTGTAGGTGATTTTGATATTCATCCAGATTTGAGAACCATTATTCAAAAGTATCTTCATGTTTCTGGATACTCAATCAACAGCTGCATCTATGTTTATGGGTGCATTCTCTGAAGAAAACAGTAAGAATGACAGAATATGCAAAAATTTTACAGTATATAATTTATTAATTATAAATTAAACAAATGCTTATGGCTCTGGCTCCCACATTGTAGATTCTTTTCATATATGATTTAAAACAATAATGTAGCTACTTATTATATTACCATACATTATTGTACATTACTGTACATTTTGAAATTGAACTGTTTAGACCATATTTTCAAAATAGTGACATTTTAGGTTCAGGAATAAAGAACAATAGCAGAAATCAACTGTGTTATCAAAGATATAATGAGGAAATGTGTTCTTACTTTTGTTTCTGCTGGTCAATCCAGAATTTACAGCTCTTCCTGACGAAGTCACAGCCCATTCCTCGGCCCCAGTCTAACTTCTCGGCCATACTATAATTAGCCTTATACCAGCTGTGGAAATAATTCAAATAAAGCACTTATTACTGTCATTTTAAAAACAATTCCAGCATACCAATTACAATCTCAACAATGAGCAAACTAGGACCTCAAGATAGAGGAGCATTTACAAGCAAAGCCCTCGTACACGGGAACTGCTGCACATAATCACCGTAGCAAGGACTGGGAAACTTGTCTTATGGTGAGGGTACTTTCATATTTGAAAAAAAAAAAAAAAAATCAAACCCAAAATATGTTGGCACTGTAATTTTCAAAGATGACAGAAGTCACAGAGTAGAAAGTGGTTAAGGTGTGAGACAAAGGGATTAAGGGCCAAAGAAACAAAAAGAGAATGAGAGAAAAAGACAAGGTAGTAAACTGAGGAAGAAATAGTGGAATTACTAGTTGGATAAATGTTACCTAATCTGATTCAGTTGGCCCTAGTTTCTTGCTTCTCTGGCCTTGAATTTGTGATATTCCATCAATACAGGTTCTCCTTGTGACTAAAAATTACACTATTATAATAAGACATATGAATGCTATGTCTAATACTTTAAAGATGTTCTAATTTCAGAAAAAAAACCCAAAAACATTTATTTGGTTTCCTGGCAAATTTAATCAAAGCCTAGGAGCCTACTTTTATTAGTTTTTCTTCTTCCTTTTTTTTTTTTTTAAGATTTTACTTATTTATTTATTTGAGAGCAAGAGAACACAAGCATGGGGAATGGCAGAGGGAAAGGGAGAAGAAGGCTCCCCACTGAGTAGGGTGCCGGATGCAGCACTCAATCCCAGGACCCTGGGATCATGACCTAAGCTGAAGGCAGACGTTTAACCCACTGAGGCAGGCGCCCCTTTCTTCTTTCTTCTTAATAACAAGATTAGTTTATAAAAATTATAAAATTATAAAAAATAGTTTCTTACCTTTTAAAAAATATTTTATTTACTTATTTATGTATTTGAGAGAGGGCGAGTGACTGCACACATGCACGCCAGGGGTTGGAGTGGGGGGGGGGGCGCAGAATCTCAAGTGGACTTGGTGTGAGCCCGACCTGGGTCTCAATCTCATGCCCCTGAGATCATAACCTAGCTGAAACCAAGAGTCGATGCTTAACTGACTGAGCCACCCAGGCGCCCCAGTTTCTAACCTTTTTGTATTGTATCTTATCCCTTTAGCATTACCAAAACAGTAAAATAAAAACATAGGCTCAAAGGCCGAGGGAATGATGAAAATTATTTCCTCCATTCCAGCCACCCTTCCACAAAATCAAACACAAATAGAAATATGATCCAACATCTTCAAAACCTTTTTTAATTTTTATTTTTTTTAAAGATTTTATTTATTTATTTCAGAGAGAGAGAGCAGGAGCAGGGGGAGAAGGAGAAGGAGAGGCAGACGCTCCCTGAGCAGGGAGTCCGACGCAGGGCTCCATCCCAGGACCCTGGGATCATGACCTGAGCCAAAGATGGACGTTTAACTAACTGAGCCACCCAGGCGCACCCCAAAACCTTCTCCTTTTTTTTTTTTTTAAAGGACACAACTCTCTGAGACAGAAACTGAAGACATGAATCTCAGCACTCCAATAACCAAAATGCCAGCAACCTCTGCAGCTATAACGTGACTTATGTTAATCAGCTAACACAGTTATCACAGCAGGTCAACTTGCCCAGATAGTAACAGATGCTCTCAGTATTGCACATCAGCAGTCATTTTAGCAGCGCCTAGGTTAGGCAGTCCTTCTTCCTATGGATGAAATGTAAAGTAATAAGATTCCCTTGGGAATGACCGTATCTAGACTAGGTTGAGTGCAGAGCATAGTATCAGTGCTATGTCACTCAGTCACCCGTTAGGCACTCCAGCTACATTTCTTGAAACTGTCCCAATACCTTCTTTGCAGCTCTTCCTATGCTACGAGTCAATAGTTATTAAGCACTTCTTATTTGGTAGGCACTTTGTTTAATGATAAGGCTACACCAGTGAATAAACAGACACAGTTCCTTCCCTCATGAAGATTATAATCTAGTGGGGAAGACAGATGTTTAAAAAAAAAATTACAACTGGGATGAGTGCTACAGAGGTTAAGTATAAGGTGCTAATAGCAGCACATTAATAGGAAAATCTAAGTTAGTCTGGGGAATTAGGAAAGATTTGTTTGAGGAAGCAACTTTAAGCTAAACCCAAAGGATGAGCAGGAGTTGGCTGAGGGAGCAGGGAAAGCACTGCAAACAGTTTTCTTAGTGGCATTAGAGGGTTGTGAAATCAACTTACTGTATCTTAACATTTATTTCTTTCTTTTAAAATCAATAAAATAGAAAAAAAAAAAAGGACTGCATTGTTGGTAGTAGGGTAAATATATTTCCATGAACTTTGGTTCAGTTTCGTATACAAGAGCTAATACCTGAGTTGGCACCTACACGTGCCAAATACTTTACTAAGGACTTTACACGTATTAACTCATTAAAGGCTCACAAAACTCTATGAGGTAGGTATCACATTTTACCCTTACTTTACAGATGAGAGAACTCAGGGAAAGATACAGCAAGTAAGTAGCAAAGACGGGATTTAAATCTAGGGTTCTGGCTTCAATGTCAGTGTGCTTTATAAAAAAATAGAGATACAGTTTATATCCTATAAAATTCACCCTTATAATGTGTACAATTCAATGGTTTTAGTATATTCACAGGCTTGTACAACCATTACAACTACAGGCGTATCTCATTTTCTTGCATTCCACTTTATTACACTTTGCAGATACTGCCTTTTTTGGGTTACAAATTGAAGGCTCGTGGCAACCCTGTGTCGAGCAAGTCTACTGGCACCATTTTTCCCAACAGCATTTGCTAACTTTCTGTCTTTGTATCACACGTTGGTAATTTTCACAATATTTTGAACTTTTTCATCATTATTATATTTGAAACAGTGATCTGTGATCAGTGATCTTTCATGTTACTATTATAATTGTTTTGGGCACCAGGAACCACACCTATACAACAACAATAAATGCTGTGTGTATTCTGCTCCACTGACTGTTCCCTGTCTCTCTCTTTCCTCAGGCCTCCCCTATTACATGAGACACAACAATATTGAAATTAGGCCAATTAATACCCTACAGTGGGGGTACCTGGGTAGCTCAGTTGGTTACGCGTCCGACTTGATTTTGGCTCAGGTCATGATCCCAGGATCCTGGGATCAAGCCCCGTGTCAGACTCTGGACTCAGCGCAGAGTCTGCTTCCTCCTCTCCCTCTGCTCCTCCCCCCACTCATGCTTTTCTCTCTCTCAAATAAGTAACTAAATCTTAAAAACAAAACAAAAACCCTATGATGGACTTTAAGTGTTCAAGTGAAAGGAAGAGTCACATGTCTCTTACTAAATCAAAAACTAGAAATGATTTAGCTTAATGAGGAAGGCATGTCAAAAGCTGAGACAGGCCAAAAGCTAGGCCTCTTGCACCAGTTAGCCAAGTTGTAAATGCAAAGGAAAAGTTCTTGAAGGAAATGAAAAGTGGTATTACAGTGAACACATGAATAATAAAGAAAATGAAACAGCCTTATTGCTGATAATGAAGAAAGTCTGAGTGGTCTGGATAGATCAAATTAACCACAACATTCTCTTAAGCCAAAGCCTAATCCAGAGCAAGGCCTTAACTCTCTTCAATTCTGTGAAGGCCAAGAGAAGTGAGGAAGTTGCAGAAGAAAAGTTGGAAGCTAGTATTGGTTGGTTCATGAGGTTTAGGGAAAGAAGACGTCTCCATAACGTACAAGTGTAAGGGGAAGCAGCAGGTGCTGTTGTATTAGCTGCAGCAAGTTCTCCAGAAGATCTAGCTCAGATAAACAGTGGAAGTGGCTACACTAAACAACAGATTTGCAATGTACATGAAGCTTCTGTTGGAAGATGCCATTGAGGACATTCATAGCTAGAGAGAAGTCAATACCTGGCTTCAAATCTTCCAAAGGCTTCCAAAGGCAGGCCAACTCTCTTGTTAGGGGCTAATGCAGCTGGTGACTTGAAGTTGAAGCCAGTGCTCATTTACCATTCTGAAAATCCCAGGGCCCTTAAGAATTACACCAAATCTACTCTGCCTTTGTTCTGTAAATGGAACAACAAAGCCTGGATGACAGCACATCTGTTTGCAATATGATTTACTGAATATTATAAGCCCACTGTTGAGACTGCACAGAAAGAAAAAAAAAAAGATTCCTGGTGTGCCTGGCTGGCTCAGTTGGTAGAGCACATGACTCTTAATCTCAGGGTCGTGAGTTCAAGCCCCATGCTGGGCATGGTGCCTACCTTAAAAAAAAAAAAAAAAGAAAAAGATTACTTTCAAAATATTACTGCTCATTGTCAATGCACCTGGTCACCCAAGAGCTCTGATGGATATGGACAACAAGGTTAATGTTGCTTTCATGCCTAACATAGCATCCATTCTGCAGCCCACAGATCAAGGAGTAATTGACTTTTGAGTCTTATTACTTAAGAAATACATCGGATAGGCTGTAGTAGCCATAGACAGCGATTCCTCAGATGGATCCTGGCAAAGGAAGTTGAAAACCTTCTGGAAAGGATTCACCATTCTAGATGCCATTAAGAACATTTGTGATTCATGGGAAGAGGTCAAAATAGCAACATCAGCAGGAGTCTGGTAGACATTGATTCCAACCCTCATGGATGACTTTGAGGGTCCAAGACTGCAGGGGAGGAAGTAAGTACAGATATGGGGGAAACAGCAAGAGAACTAGAATTAGAAGTGGAGCCTGAAGATGTGACTGAATTGCTGCAATCTCATGATAAAACTTGAATGGATGAGGAGTTGCTTCTTATGGATGAAGACAGAAAGCAGTTTATTGAGATGGAAACTACTCCTGGTACAGATGCTGTGAAGACTGTTGAAAGGACAATAAAGGATTTAGAGCATGACATAAACTTTGTTGATGAAGCAGTGGCAGGGTTTGAGAGGACTGGTTCCAATTCTGAAAAAAAAACCTACTGTGGGTAAAATGCTACCAAACAGCATTGCATGCTACAGAGAAGTCATTCATTAAAGGAAGAGTCAAATAGTGTGACAAACTTCATTGTCTTCTTTTAAGAAATTATAACAACCACACCAACCTTTACCACCCACCACCCTCATCAGCCAGCAGCAATCAACATCAGGGCAAGACCCTCCACCAGGAAAAAGGTTATGACTTGCAGAAAGTTCAGTTGATAGTTAGCATTTTTGAGCAATAAAGTATTTTTTTTTAAAGATTTTTAGTAACCTTTACATCCAAGGTGGGGCTCGAACTTAAAACCCAGAGATCAAGTGTCTCATGCCCTACTGACTGAACCAGCCAGGCGCCCCACGTAATAAAGTATTTTTTTTTTTTTTAAAGATTTTATTTATTTGACAGAGAGAGACAGTGAGAGAGGGAACACAAGCAGGGGGAGTGGGAGCGGGAGAGGCAGGCCTCCCGCCGAGCAGGGAGCCCGATGCGGGGCTCCATCCCAGGACCCCGGGATCACGACCCGAGCCGAAGGCAGACGCCCAATGACTGAGCCACCCAGGCGCCCCCGTAATAAAGTATTTTTAAAGATTTGATTTATTTTATCTTAATTATTTTATTTATTTATTTTTTTAATTTTGAGAGAGAGAGAGTAGCATGAGCGGGGGGAAAAGCAGAGGAAGAGGGAGAGAGAATCCAAAGCTGACTCTGCGCTGAGCATGGAGCCTGAGTGGAACTCGATCCCACCACCGCAAGATGATGACCTGAGCCTAAACCAAGAGTCAGATGCTTAACCAACCGAGCCACCCAGAAAACCCATGTTTTTAAATTATGGTATGTACATTGTGGGGTGCCTGGCTGGTTCACTCAGTACAGCACACTACTCTTTATCTCAGGGTCATGAGTTCAAGCCCCACACTGGGTGTAGAGATTACTTAAAAAAAAAAAAAAAGGTATATACATTGTTTTTTTAGACATAATGCTATTGCACACTTAACAGACTACAATATAGTATAATGATAACTTTTATATGCACTGGGAAACAAAAAAAAATTCATTTGATTTGCTTTAGTCCAGTGGTCTGGAGCCAAACCTGATATTTCTCTAAGGCATACCTATATCTAATTTCAGCACATTTTCATCAGCCCTCAAAAAACTATGTCCCCATTAGTAATCACTAATCATTACTCGTGATCTCAGGGTCGTGAGATCAAGCCCCATGTCAGGTTCTGCGCTCAACGTGGAGTCTGCTTCAGATTTTCTCTCCCTTTCCCTTTGCCCCTCCTGCTCATGCTCTCTCTCTCTAAAATAAATAAATAAATTTAAAAAAAAAGAGAGATACTAAACTGTCTTCCAAAGTGGCTGTACCATTTTGCATTCCCACCAACAATGAATGAGAGTTCCTGTTGCTCCACGTCTTTAGCAGCATTTGGTGTTGTCTGTGTTCCAGATTCTGGCCATTCTAATGGGTGTGTAGTAGTATCTCACTGTTATTTTAATTTGCATTTCCCTGATGACACTTTTTTCCCTGCTTTTTCTTTAATACGGTTGCCATCTTCCATGATATATTATTAGGTGCCTTCTTAATAGCATCTAATCTACTTTTTTGTTGCACCAGACAGCATCCTAGGATAGAACTCTTATTACCACTCATGTTCACAAAGTACTGTTCTTAAGTACAATACAGCTAACTCATGGTTTGGCCATAATTAATGGGTAGTGTTTTTTTCTAAAAATGGATTAATGCACACATCCAAACCACATTAAATTTTCAACTTAAGAGTTCACACATAGTCTATTTCCTTCCTACAGTTGCTATTACTCCAAATTGTAGTTTTGAAATCCAAGAAGTGGGAAGAATGTCTTTCTGTTGCTGATACTTCTTTCTTTTTTCCTTCCTTCCTCTTTCCTCTCCCCCTTTTATTCCTTCCTCCCTTCCTTTCCTTTTTTCTTTCTTTCTAAATAAGAAGATGAAAAGAAATGGTTTATTAAGGAAATCAAAATCTAGTAAACATCAAAAACTTAGAGTAGTCACAAGCTCTTTTTTTTTTTTTTAAGATTTTATTTATTTACTTATTTGACAGAGAGGGAGAGAGAGTACAACCAGAGAGAGCAGCAGAAGGAAGGGGAGAAGCAGCCCCCCCGCCGAGCGGGGAGCCTGACGCAGGACTCAATCCCAGGACTGTGGAATCATAACCTGAGGCAAAAACAGACGCTTAACCAATTGAGCCATCCAGGTGCCCTATAAACTCTTTTTGTAATGATGTTAAAATTACTGACAAAGGGCGCCTGGGTGGCTCAGTTGGTTAAGCGACTGCCTTCGGCTCAGGTCATGATCCTGGAGTCCCGGGATCGAGTCCCGCATCGGGCTCCCTGCTCGGCAGGGAGCCTGCTTCTCCCTCTGACCCTCCCCCCTCTCATGTGCTCTCTGTCTCTCTCATTCTCTGTCTCAAATACAGGGAGTCTGATGTGGGACTCGATCCCAGGACCCTGGGATCATGACCTGAGCCGAAGGCAGTCGCTTAACCCACTGAGCCACCCAGGTGCCCTGGAGCATCTTTTCATATGCTTATCTATATACCTTTTTCTGTGAAGGGTCTGTACAGATCTTTGCTAATGTTTAATTGGGTTGTTCATTTTCTTATTGTTGAGTTTTAAGACTTTTGTTTTAAAAAAGACTTTATTTATTTATTTGTCAGAGAGAGAGAGAGGGTGCACAAGCAGGGAGAATGCAGGCAGAGGGAGAAGCAGGCTCCCCGCTGAGCAAGGAGCTGGATGTGGGACTCAATCCCAGGACTCTGGGATCATGATCTAAGCTGAAGGCAGACGCTCAACCTACAGAGCCACCCAGGTGTCCCTTGAGTTTTAATATTTTTTTTAATATATATTTGGGTAATAGTCCTTTATCAGATGTGCCTTTTACAAATATATTCTCCCTGTCTATAGCATGTCTCTTCATTCTCTTGACTTCATTCCTTTTTGTGGCTGAATAATATTCCTTTGTATGTATATACCACATTTTGTTTATCCATTCATCAGCTGATGAACATTTGGGCGGTTCCTACTTTTTGATTATGAGTAAAATTGCTGTGAATATTCATGTATAGGTTTTTGTGTGGACATGTTTTCAATTCTTTTAGATAGACAACTGGGAGTAAACTTGCTAGATCATATGGTAAATCTGCTTAACTTTTTGAGGAACTACCAATCTGTTTTCCAAAGTGGCTGGATCATTTTACATTTCCCCTAGCGGTATATGAGTTCCAATTTTCCCACATCCTCATCAGTATATGCAACTGTCTTTTTTATTACAGCCATCCTAGTGGGTGTGAAAATAGTATCTCATTGTAATTTTGATTTGCATTTCCCTAAGGACTAATGATGCTGAGAATCATTTCATGTGCTTACTGGCCATTTTTCTGTACCTTCTTTGGAGAAATATCTATTCAAATCCTTCACCTATTTTTAAATCAGGTTGCCTTTTTATTGTTGAGTTATAAGAATTCTTTATATTTTCTGGGTACTAGATGTTTATCAGATAGATGATTTGTAAATATTTTCTCACATTTTGTGAGTTGTCTTTTCACTTTTTTTTTTTTTTTTAAAGATTTTATTTATTTATTTGACAGAGAGAGACACAGCGAGAGAGGGAACATAAGCAGGGGGAGTGGGAGAGGGAGAAGCAGGCTTCCTGCCAAGCAGGGAGCCCATCACTTTCTTGATAGTAACCTTTGAAGCACAAAAGTTTTTAATTTTGATGAAGTCTAATCTATCTAATATTTCTTTGGTTGCTTATGCTTTCATTATCATATTTAAGAAATCACTGCTGCGGCACCTTTGTAACTCAGTCGGTTAAGTGCTTTTGGCTCAGGTCATGATCTCAGAGTCCTGGTATTGAGCCCTGTGTCAGGGAGCTCAGCAGGGAGTCTCCTGGTCCCTCTCCCTCTGCCTCTCCCCACCCCTTGCGTGTGCTCTCTCTCTCTCAAATAAATAAATAAAATCTTTTAAAAA